TACGTATAATTTAAAATATTTAAATTTCAGTTTTTGTGCTGTGCTTGCATGACAGCGTCCAGGGTAAGAGAAAATTACATATTTCTAGTATCAAATTATTATGTTTACTTACAAAACAAAATCTACTTGAATTTATGAATAGATAATAAACATCACATCTTAATATTCTCAAACTATTTCAACCTCAAACATTTTCTATTGTACTTGAAAGAGGCACTTAAGTCGGGAGAGTGGTGTTATGTTGCTATAGATAAAAGTTTGATAAAATGAAAAATGCATACTATTTCACAGCATACGATAACTAGTTGTACGAAAAAAAGTCATTATTATGGGAACTTCAAAAAACGAAATACACCACTCATACAGATGTTAAAAACAATGTGCCGGATAACAGTTAGCTCTAAAAATTACTAGAGTAGAAAAAATCACATTGATCGTATACTTCTCATTCATGATAAAATCTCAAAAATAATTTAATGTTTTTTAATAGGTGTAACCATTTGTTACCATCAATACTAAATATATGCACGCTAAAGTTAAAATTTAACATTTTTAACGCGGTAGCTACACTGATGTCGCTTTACAAAACACACTTCAAAGTACGTCGATGAAAGTTAGACATCCAGGTAATACGATAAGCCAAAAAGCAGTTACGGAGAGATCCACCCGTAGCCCCCTTCCCTGTTGAGGGTGGGTTGTACATTCTTTCATATATTGCCTCTTTAACACCCCGTTCCCACCAGCGTGTTTCGCGGTCTAAGATATCCGTGGACTCAAGTTTGAAAGAGTGACCCTGGTTGTGTTGTAGGTGGTGGAAAATAGCTGAGGAGTAGCCGTTGGCACCAGGTCTGTAATGTTCTTTGTATCTTACTTTGAGCGGTCTCCTCGCATTTGAGTCTGTAAATAACATTCGCATTGGTACCTTTGTGAGGTCGGTCCTTAGGGTGTACCAGTCGTTGTCTGAGGGTTGTGTGAGGTTTGAAGTTAGTGGCTATGTTGAAGTTTTAAAATATCCGTCGGAGTTTCTCAGATACTCCTTGGACATACGGAATAGCGATGTTGACCATGTTTTTGTTGGTCAATGGTTTGCACTTCTGAGTTAAGCTCCTCTTCTGTATAACAGGAGCTTTCTGACTAATTTTCATTATCTTGTCTTGACTTGTCTGACTTTTGTTCCTTTTTCGACTTCCAAAAATTTGTTTTCACTTTATTTGCATATCAATCAACAGTTTGTGCTTATAAACCTGCATTTCTCCTCTGGTCTCTCAGTCACTGACGAAAGCTGGTGGATACTAGCTGAAACGTCTGACGTTTTCAAAATCATATCCAGTTGCTTGAGTAACTCCTTTTTGGCACACGTCAAACTAATGGTATCGTGCAAGTATTGCTAAAAATATAAATAGGAGAACTTACACTCCAAGTCAGGTCTGCATGACAGGTACGTGTAGCTGAACCAACCACACACACAAACAGACACACAGACAGATAAGCCAAAAACAACACCTCCTATTTTTCATGGAGGTAATGATAATGGTTATATAAAAGCGAAACATCACCTTCGCAGGTCGGGTCACTTGCAGTCCAAGTCAGGTCTGACTGACAGGTACGTGTAGCTGAACCAACCAGGTTGTATCCTGAGTCACACGAGTATGTGACTGTGTCTCCCAAGGAGTTAGAACCAGTCACGGCACCGTTTGTAGGAGCTGGCGGGGTGGAACACTGCCCAGCTGTATATCGTGTGTATATATATATATAATTGCTTATTACTGCCTTAACATTAAAGTTTTCTCTTGCTTTGAGTAAAAAAAGGACTTATTTTCTCATGCTTTGAGTAAAAAAACGACTTAAACCTTTAGCGATTCCCCCTTCGGAATCTATACTCAAGCTGGGCATCATTCCCGCCACACCATACAAGAGTCTGCATGGAGGGGCACTACTCATTCACTGGATTATAACTACTTGTAGTTCAATTTCTTGTTAGTCGTTGACTATATTTTACAAATTTGGTAAAATTTGTATCAGTAAAAATGTGTTCTTTTAGAAGGTGATACTCAAATCAAATCTTTATTAAACATCAACATGGCAGACGTGCCGAAGTACTTCGGGCACATCTGAATTACATTGACATTTTACACACTTAAAACTACATCAGTATTTAAAAATCGACATCATTACGAATACATAGATTAAAATAGTAAAATTTTTAGTTTAAAATACAACATTTATAGATATTCAATACACATTTACAGGTCTTTTATCGCTCTGACAATGAATGCGTTTTGTGTCTTTCCGTTCTGCTTAGTGGGAGTTTATACTGATTGCTGTAACAGTTCTTCCTGAGATTGTACGCCTTTTCCTCTCTTTGTGGGATAAAGTCATTTCAAGGGTGGGAGGGGTCCTGTAGTATTCGTTTTAGTTCAGTCAGTGATGCCTCCCTCCTCCTGGACTCGAGAGTGGGCAAGTAACAATGTGGAACTCCACAAGTCCTGAGGCACAGCTTCTGAATCCTTTCCATCTCGTCTGACAGACAGCGCGGAAGACCGGCCCAGACGGGGACCCATACTCCAACACAGGTCGGATGAAGGACTTGTAGATTTGCAGTAGCACTTCCGTTGAGAGGGCAGCAGCCTGGCTACGCGCAGGTAGTATATGCGCGGTTGGACCTTTGCTAGCATGTACTCCACATGAGGTCCCCATTTAAGGTCATTGCTGACCACAATTCCAAGGAGCTTGAAGGAGGTCACTCTCTCACCGGATTCACCATTCAAGGTAAGTGGAGGGGGCACTACAGGGCTACGGCGACAACCGATGACCATATCTTTTATCTGGCCTCTGCTATTGAGCGTGCTTTTAACTCCAATTAAAGTTTTTATGCCTTTTGTTTGTGCAAATAACAAAGTAATAGAAAAATACATTGATAATGGTTATATAAAAGCGAAACATCACCTTCGCAGGTCGGGTAACTTGCAGTCCAAGTCAGGTCTGCCTGACAGGTACGTGTAGCTGAACCAACCAGGTTGTATCCTAAATCACACGAGTATGTGACTGTGTCTCCCAAGGAGTTAGAACCAGTCACGGCACCGTTTGTAGGAGCTGGCGGGGTGGAACACTGCCCAGCTGTATATCGTGAATATTGCTTATTACCACCATGTTTAAAACTGTCAAAGTTGCTATTTACAGAGAAATTAACTAATTGATTTTTTTTAATTTCCACTTTTATGACAATATTAACAGAACGTGTATATATAAGAATAGAGCGTTTGTTTTACTCCAGCCTAAGTTTTTTTTTCTTTGTGCAAAAAACAGCAAAGTAAACAAAATATACAATGGTAAAGGCTATATAAAAGCAAAACATCACCTTCGCAGGTCGGGTCACTTGCAGTCCAAGTCAGGTCTGCCTGACAGGTACGTGTAGCTGAACCAACCAGGTTGTATCCTGAGTCACACGAGTATGTGACTGTGTCTCCCAAGGAGTTAGAACCAGTCACGGCACCGTTTGTAGGAGCTGGCGGGGTGGAACACTGCCCAGCTGTATATCGTGAATACTGCTTATCACTGCCTTAACATTAAAGTTTTCTCTTACTTTGAGTAAAAAAACGACTTAACACTATTCAGACCGGGAGGGAGGGGCTTTTTTGAGGCCAGCGCCCAATTTCATCTCAGATAACGCCTGAACGGCTTGCGCTAAAAGCGTCAAATTTGGCGACGTTTCCTAAAAGTTAACTGGCAACAAATTCATATTAATTAGATAGTTTCTTGATTTTTCGTGTGGCCATGGCAACGGGTTTTTGATAGGCAGTCTTTGGAAAAAACACTAAGTTTGGTTCAAACATAAAAATGTTCTAGGTTCTATGTTTAATTACATTTCCTTTTTAACATTAACAACATCTTATATAATTAAATATATTTTTCTATAATTAAATATTAATAATTAATGCTAATTTGATGAC